TCCCACACAGAGAGCTTCACAACACAAAAAATAAAGAAAAAGATGCACTACCTTTTAAGTTTTCTTTTCAAGACTTGTTCACAGCACTGTTAGAAGCAGCAAGATACTGGGACCCTTTCTACCCTCCATGTAGAGGGTGCAGGCCATCAGTGTGGGCCATGGGAACCAGGGAAAGCTACAGGGATGCTGAGCTCAGTCTCTCTGGGCTCACAGGGAAAGAGGTCAAGGAATCTCATTATGAAATAACACATGGATGCAAGATGGATGTGTGTGTGTGGATGGTCTCAGGTTTTACAATGTAGTATCTCTGACATCAATGTGTGTATACACAGAGATGTGCATGAGACAGACAGAGTGACAGAGGCAGAGCAAGGCAGAGTCTGGGAGATTTGCCCATCACTTAGTGAAGCAGAGCTACAGAGGCCAGAAATGTGAATGATTTTCTTGGTTTTACTCTCAAAGTCCTTATTGGACAATGTCATCTTTGTGAGGGGAAGTAGCACAGGAATCTATCAGGAACCTGTGAAACAGATAAATGTAACCAAAATTTCTTTTTTCTTTTTCTAAATCTGGCATTTATAAAAGCATATATTAATGACACAAACATAGTTCTCCAGTACAGAGTCCTCCTTGGACTTGTCATTAGCAGCCTCAGAAGACAGAAAAAGGGGCAGAAGGTCCATATAAAGGTGGAAAAGAGGTTTTTCCTTAGTTGAAGAAATGTCACCTGAGAAGCCTCACTTAAACCAAACAGAGGTGCCCTTTCTTCCCAGGGTGTGGGGGGAGGGCGTGGAGACAGCACAGAGTACAAGGATGGGTTGGAAGAGGACCAAGACTCAGCTGTAGGAGAGGTCACAGTATCCGGACCAGGGCCACTCAGTCTTTGCTTTTCTTCCTCAGTTAAAAAAAAAAAAAAAAAAAAAAAAAAAAAAAAAAAAAAAAAAACAAGAAAACAACACAACTATCAGGTGAGAAGAGTTTCTGAAAAAGGAGCCATGAAAGACACATACAATAGAACCACATTACATTTTTAAAAGGTATTTACATATAAGCTGTTTGTACATTGGCTAGTTCTGTGGGAAAGGCAGGAAGTCATGCACCACTGAGCTGCTTCACAGATATCAACATACTTGCTGTTGATTCCCCTCAGTAAAAATCCTTCAGTGCAGAAATAGAGTTGACAGAAGGAGAGATTCAATTTCTCTCATCCCCCAATGAAGAGGAATTGAAGATTGTGTCACAGGCTCCGATGGCTCTGGGCATGTCTGCAGTCCTCAGTAGCACTACAGTGAAGTGTCTGGGGGGGACCCCTCCCACAAGACATGGACCACAAGTGAGGTGGACATAGGAGAGCTGTGTGGAGCATGCTGTGCCTGGCTGCTGGAGGGAACCCTGCCCTGGCCCCAGGTCCCAGAGGTGCAGGTAAGACTCAGAACAGCACTCTGCATGTTGTGTAAATAAACTGACCCTTTAGGAGACATGGAAATAATACTCCGGGGAGGGGTCTCCTATGGCAGAGGGGACATCTCATGCATACAGTTTCTTAACTGCAAAAGAAAATCTCCCAGTTAATGCTGCATGCACATGACTTCCCCTTTGTATTGCACTGCAGGAAGATGGACCCTGGCAGTAACCTAGAGTTACTGAGCTGCCTCAGTAAACCCAGGGCAAACCCACCACAAGATTTCATCACCCTACTGTGAGGTCTCATCAGCTCTGGCCCCTGCTTTTTGCTGCTGCTGCTGCTGCTTGACAATTTCAAGGTGATTCCTATCTGCACAAGCCATCTCCACCTCTCTCAGCTTATGGCTGCCAGGGTGTGGATCAGAATATGCATTTACATAATATCCCATCATGATTTCAGGAGGGGTGGCAGCCTCTTCTCTACTGGAAATTATTTTTCAAGTTTGGGCATAAGAAACCTTATACTATTTGCATAGCCATTTGAGAGGAAATGACATTATTTGGAAAAATGTAGGGCACACATTTTGTCAGTGGAAGATTCAGTTGCTACTGAAGCCTATAGTTCGGGGGTAAAAAGACATTAGGTAGGGTTTGCTCTACAAGATGCTACAAGGGACAGAAATGTCCCCAAGTTCAAGTTCTGCTTTGCTTCCCTCATTCTACCAAGCTGCAGAGTGGATTCTGAGCATCCAAACATCTAGGGTTTGAACTGCAGTACAAAAATGTAAAACCCCAGACAACTGAGGAGTAAAAACTGAAGAAAAGCTTTTTGGCAAAATGCAGTTTTAAATATATGCTTAAATAATTTAAGAAACCAAAAAACAACAACAACAACAACAAAAAAAAAAAAAACAAGAAAGAAAGAAAGAGAAAAGGTAATGCTAATGCTGTGTTTTGTTCTAATGCTCCAGACACAGTCAGAAAGGAGAGGAGCAAAATTTGCAGACTGGAAGGGTCACTGTGGGAAATGCACTTGGCCTAGGAGGCTGAGGGTGTGTTAGATCCACTATGAGAGCACCAACCAGGGCAGTATCAGGCACCTGGTGGAAGCAGAGGCCGGGACCCAGTCACTGAGGCCCCTACGGCTGAGGTGGGAGAGTCTTTCCTCCATCCTGGGGGTTCTTCCCTCCCATGCCTGCAGGGCTGCAGCATGGATGCAGTGGGGGAAAGGCTGTAAGGCAGGCAGTGCTGGGCTCTTCTGCATGTTGCACACTCCCTGCGCCTCTGGGCAGCAAGAAAATTCAATTCCTCCTCGCTGGAAAAAGAGACTCTGAAGAAAAACTCTTGCTGTCCTCTGAGAGTCACTGGCACAGGTGAACATGGTAGCTTCTAGGGTGGGGAGGGCAGCACCTCCCCACCATGGAGGGGCTCTGCATGATCTCATGTGTTATGGTTTTAAAAATTAGTCATAAACAATGTGTTGATTTTCTGAATACCAAGAATCCTTATTCTTATGTTTGAAGTTTCTGTACTGTGCATATCCTTCATTATATATAAATGAAAATTAAATCTTCCATTCTCACTCATCTGTTCAAGAAATTAAACACTACTTATTCTTAACTAAGTTGAGCATAAGAGAAGAAATATTGAGTGGAGCACTGTCAATAATGCAGTGGAAATGGAAAATGGAAAAACCACAAAGGCTTCCCTCCCAGGATCATGGTCTGCCCTCCACTAGCTCCTCTCTCCAGTCCTTGCCTGCCATGTGTGCCTGTGTCTCTTCACTGCTGAGTGGAGAGAGGGCCAGGCCACAAGCTCTCTGTCATATCAGGGAAGACCAGGGCCATGGCCTAGGACATGGCTTTCTTTCAGCATTTTCGGTGCCTGTTAGTTTGTAATTCACTTGGCAGCTTTGTTGTGGTAAATTCATGGTTTCTAACTTTTCACACTATGAGTAAGAAGAGAATACATGTGACTGCCAATCTCATTTTTTATAATGAAGACTTAGCAGTGGAATTTCTAGGTTAAATGTATACAGGTTGAATTTCATAATCAAATATTTCATACCTGAAGTCTCCACTTTGAGTCGGAGTCTGGAAGAGGAAGTCTAGGGGTGCTCAGATCTCTGTGGAGATCTGATGTCAGGAGAAAATGGACCAGGCAGAGGTACAGGACACCGCTGCACCAGGGGCAAGAAAGGTCCAGTTCTGGGCTTCTTGATCCACAAGTCAGCATCTCAGCAAAGAAGCACACAGTGCACACTGGACAGAAGAGGGCAGGAAAGGCCCTGCTGCCAGAGCTCCTACCTGCAGACCTCAGGCCCCCTGTCTCACACAGGTGAGATCTCTATGAAAAGGTCAGCCTGTTACAGAGCCCACATTGGCTGAATGTCTTCCACCCAAGCCAGATCTGAACTGCTGCATGTGGACTCATCATAGCTGTGAAGTGGGACAGGTATTTACAGTGAGCAGGTCAGGAGATGGGGACACTGCAGGCAGGCTAGGGTATGAGGCCTGAAATAAGATACGGGCACCTGACCAGCTCCAGTTTCCCCCAGCAATAGCCACCCGAGGAGAACAGTTTGCATTAAAAGACTAAGTAAATGAAAGGAGTGACTGACAAAAATACATACTACAGGGAGAGCTTGAAAATACAAAATAAATGGCGGCATCCCTAAGTAAAATGACACGTGACCTTAATGGGAATGTGGTCTCCACTGGAGTCACTGACCCACACACATCAGGAGCAAACACACTGATGAACAGAGGAAAAAATAACATAGGCAATGGATCAACAATCAAAACTGATTAATACCAACAACAAAAGCCAGGCTAAGATAAATGTCCCTCAAAATTTTTTCAAATGTGTAATAAAGAATAAGTAGTAATCATTTTTGGATTCTTCCAGGAAATTTACCAGAACATGGAAAAGTGAAGCACCACAATCAACACCAAGATCAATCCCAGTGCTGCAGGAATGGTTCCACTGCAAAAACCATTCAGTGTCACTTGTCTCTTTCACAGAATGGGGCACAGCTAACCCCTCAATAGACTTGGAAAAATAGCTTTCAAAAATTCCAAAGTTGAACATTCTGTCATGGGAAGAACTACTCACACACACCATGTGTAGGAAGAATGGGCCTCAGTGCAGCATAGGCTATGCAGGTATGATGATCTTTATTATGAGAAGTCCATCCCTGACATGGTGCTCAGAGGCAGACAAACTGCAAGATTTTCTACTCAGATCAGGAACAAGACAAGACTTGCAAATCTTTTCAACATAATATTTGAAGTCCTAACCCTAGAATTTAGTTAAGAATAACAAAGCAATGCCTTTCAAATCAGAAAGTAAGAATTAAGAGTTGGCTCTGTTTCCTGAGGACACAACCTTGCATATAAGAAACTTAAAACTCCACTGAAAACCTTTTAGGGTTAAATTTATAAATCACTTAAATTGCAAGATACAAGATCCACATGTCCTAATCAATTCATTTTTATGCACTTCATACAAACTGTAGCCTCAAATACATAGAACACAATTTATTGCATAATTCATCAAAAAGAGTTAATGCTTAGGAAAAAATTAACCAAACTCACCTTTTCTTTAAAAACTGTAGAAACTGATGCAATGAGTGAAATGGCACTAACAGAAGAAAAGACACACTGTGATGGTGGATGGGAAGAATTCATGTTGTTACAATGTTCAGGATACCCAGAGCAACCAGCTGTTTCAGTGCCATTCATGTCAAAGTATCACTAATACTTTCCTAGAAAAAAAAAATGAAAATTCACAAGGAATTACAAAGAGTCATCCTACAGCCTAGGAAAGAACACTAAAAGGAAAGGCATCAAAATACCTGGTTTCCAGGTATATTGTAAATTGAAGGCAGTCAAAGGATCTTATACTGCAAGAACAGGACGGCAGATTAAAATGCATAGCCCAGAGACAAACCAATTCATAGTCACCAGGAATTTTGTTTTATTTCTTCTTTCCTTTCCTGTCTGTTCCCACATGTTTATTTTCTTTTTCTGGTCAGGGTCTCCCTGTGTCATTGTGGCCTGAGCTGAACTCAGAGTGTGTTGCAGTCTTGTGTGGAAATCCCAGGAATCCTGCTGCCTCAGTGGCCTGAGTTCTGACATTGCAGGCATTTTCACCATTCCTTGCTCATCAAATGAGTTTTTAACAACACTATAATGAGACCAGGTCTGGTGTGTGGCTTGTAATGCCAGCTGCCTGGAAGGCTGAGGCAGAAATATCACAAATTCAAGGATAGACCCACCAACTTAGCAACTTATTGAGAAACTCCTGAAAAAAAAGGAAGATTTTTAAAAGTGGAAGGTAATGGAGCTAAATGCAAAAGATCTGTACTCAATCTCTAGAAACTGAATGAAAAACCAAAACCATAACCAAAACAAAACCTTGGAAAGTAGAATGGGAGGGTAAATGTTTTACACTGGCCTGGATTTCTGGAGGGCAGTGTGCCCCAAGTAGCCTTAACTTTCACACCTTCCTTGGAATTTGATGTCAATCATTAATTTCCATGAGGGACCAGAGAAACAGAGAATGTGTTTCAAGGACACCAAGCCTCAGTCCCAGTGCAGAAGTCATTTGAAGTGATCTCCTGAAGCGCATGCTGATCACAGTTGGAAAAGCAGAGAATCCACAACCATTGTTAATGTGATTTTCAGTCCTACTCACTGAAAGAAAGTACAGGTTAGTAAGGTGGCAGATAGCTTAACTAGATTGACTCTTTCTGCAAAGTGTCTAAAGAGCAAGGCTGAAACTTTTACTACACAAATACACAAAATTACTGCCAATTACCAACTCAGGATAATGTATGTATACGTATATTCCCAGCTGTCTGGGAGGGAGAGGAAGAATGATGAAGGGTTTAAGCTTAGCCTGGAATACTCAGGAAATTAGTGAGATCATGGGTCAAAATTTGTAAAAAAGCTAAATATTTTACAAATGTATGATAATATTGATCATTAAGAAATCATAGGGCAAGGTACATTAACCACTACTATTCTACAATCATTTTTATGTTTCCATAGACTTAAAAGGAGTATCCTTTTAAGGTCCTTATTACTATTTAAAAAATAGAAATCCCTTCATCAAATTCTGGTTCTAAATATAAATTTAGGAAAGTACAAAAACAATGATCATGATGTTCTTACAGAGGTAGCCAAATCCTTAGAGGGTATATTCAGTAGGGTATCTGTAGTCATCTCAGTAAAACATTCAAAAACATTGAAACAAAGCAAGTAGATCAATCTTTACATGATGGTAAACCTTATGCTAGGTGTGCTGACTGAAGTACACTTGCAAGAAACCTCACAAATATTTATATTTTGAATTCATAGGCGATTTTTGAAATTTTATTTAAAAATTTTTTCTCTTATTCTTTCTTTCTTTTTTTTCTTTCTTTTATGCTTTGTTTTGAGATAGGGTTCTGCTATGCAGTTCAGGCTAGACTTGATCTTCCCTTGTAGTCCAAGATGACCTCAAATTCCCAACAATCCATCTGCCTTCAGAGTACCGGAATGACAGGTGTGCACCAACAACCCTGACTGTGTTTTCCTTTTTAAATTTTCTCCAAAACAAAACTACAGAGTTATGTGATATTCTTTTATTTTCTCAAGTTGATTATACAAAATTAAATCAGAAAGCACTGAAAATACACTGAGGGTGTTTCAAAATCCTCACCAAAAAATAACATAATGTAACATAAAATAGCATAGCATATTATAGCATAAGAAAACAAAACAAAACAAAAAGCAACCACCTAACTCTGCTTTAAACAACTGCTTCAAAGACACTTTAAGAATTTCTGAGTTGGCCATACACCAGCAATATGATTCAGTAATTTCATATTTAAGTACTTTTTCTTGAAAATAAAAGCCTGTATCCACTCAAGCCTGTGTTAAAAAATGGCTGTGGCAGGTGAATTTCAAGTGCCGACCATGGAATAGAACAAAGGGCCAACAGCAGATGGGTGACAAGTCACGAAGAAGTCACATGTGGTTGGTTCAGCCCCATATTAGTGGTTTGTGGCATCAGAGGGTGAGTCCAGGACTGAGACACTGCTTGAATGAGACCAACCAAAGAGCATCACAACTGAACAGGCACAGTGCCATCACCTCTAGGAAAGGCAAACTACCCAGCAGGGACACAAAGCCAATGGTCTGTTTGGGATGCGAGGACAGGAAGTGATAGCTGTAGGTAGGAGACAAGTTTGCCAGGAGTGATACACATATGTCCTTCATCAGCATGGAGTGATGATGTCCACAGCCTGGCAAAGCCTCCCCTTGCACTCACCACCTGCTGTTTCCCCTCACAGGATGTCAGAGTACAGAGCACTACAGTGTGTGGTTGAGGTAAACATCTAAGGATGAGTAAGTAATCATTCATAGGCACGTGAGAGTAAAACTTGCTATGAATCCTCCTTCCCTGGACAGACAGGGGTTATAACATGAAACATTCACATCCTTAAAAAAATTATTATGGGTGTTCTAGGAGCATCTCCATGCTCACTATTGGAATTGAAATGAAACTATCATAAGCCCAGAAAAGAAAGTCCTCGGAAAATGTGACAGATCTGTCAGTGAAGACAGTGAACAACTCATACTCAGAGAGAATGGACACTTTGGATGGAAATGTGTGCTTGGCACAATGCCTGCCACATCTGAAGCATCTACATGTTTGCTGCATTAAAAACTTCAAAGTGTAAAACCACACACAGTTTTCTAGTTTTTCACTTTGCTGTTTCTAAGGTGAACACAGATTTGTTCCACAATAAAAAGACAAGGGTCATCAGAGGGGGAGGCCCAGCTATGGACACCAGCCTGTGACCTCATTTCTTTGGCAACAGGCCTTAACAGAACTCTGAAGGCTCTGGTCACGAGGCACCTTGGTGTGGCGACAGCCTTCACAGGCGCATAGCTCAATAGAGTGACCAGTGTATATGCTGTGCTGCTTTCCCATGCCTAGAAGCCTCAGCCGGACCCCACATGAGAAAATCACCTGGGAATAAGTGAAAGGATGGTTCACTTGGCCCAGATGCTTCAGGATGCTCTCAGAGAACTGCCCAACAGACAAGTCAGCACTGGGCAGGGCTCACTGGCCCAAGGCCCCTGGTGCCCAGACACAAGAGGGACCCCAGGACAGATGTCCCTAGGCTTGGCCACCAGCCACTCAGATATACTGAATCCAGACATGTCTCTTTAGGCCTGGCCACCACTGTGAGTCCCCCTAAACAATTCCTGCCTAGGTCATCAGTCTGAGGGAGGTTGAGGAGAGGCACTGAGGGCAGATTCTCCTGGGTAGGGGCAGGTACTGGGAATCTCTGAGCATGGGTCACTGTCATGTTCTTACCCATAGAACAAGGCTGGCAGGAGGAAAAGGGCAGTGCCCATGTTTATCCACAGCCTCCATAAACATCTCCTATGGTTCTGGGTAGAAGTCTGGGACAGAGCTGTCTGTCTTTGAGGAACATAAGATTATCTAGATTAACAACATAAAACCTGTGGTGTCTCAGAGCCTCAGGCTTCCTCCAGGCTGCTGGGCACTGCTGCTACAGTGCTGCACACAGACCATTGGCCTGGAGCTCTTCCCTGGGCCCTGTGTGCCATGTCCCTGCTCCAGATACTGGGACCCACAATTACAATAGGTATGGGCTCCGGTGCAGGGTGTGTGAGCAGAAGGGACTGTAAGGAGGCCCACAGATGACTGAGAGGAACTTTGGGCACATCGCTCCAGGGCTTGTCAAACACTGGGTCCATAGTCCTGCTACCAAGGAAGCTGGACTCCCAGTGCTCAGCTACCATATCCTCTCTACTCAGTCTCTATCTTGTCACAGACAAGATCACTCTCCACATGTTGGTAGAAGCAGGAGAAAGGGACATAGAAACAAAGTCACTTCATTTATTGTCATGATTGAATTCTACCATTGCACCTCATTGTCAGTCCTGGGCCTGGTGTCCATGGACCATTAGCTGGCTGTCTTTCCACCCTGTCTCAAGCTCTTACATATCATCACCTCATCAGAGACGTGTTCACCTCAAACGTCAGTCCACTCTGTTGATTTATCTGGCACTTGTGTCACAGAATTTTTTTCAGGCACCGCAGTTCCTATTGCAGGAGCCTCTGGGCTAAATGAGAACAAGAGAGCAGTGAACACAGCTGCTCACCTTCCATGGCTATGGAAGAGGAACTTAATTCCTTCATGGGACATTTCATCAGAAACCTGAGGAGCATTCTGTGGGCCTCATTAGTGAACTTGGACATCCAGAATGAGCCTCTGTTTTCTCATGTCTAAAATGGGGACCATCTTATTACTCATAGTTTTGTTCATGCATAGAGTTCTATTCAGCCTCTCCTCTATCAAGGTGAACTGAGCATGCTAGTATTCCTAAGTGTCCCTCATGAAAGGTAACTTTCAATATGAAATTCCCCTTTCTGTTGGGGTCCTCCTGTGAGCCTTGTACCATGAAGCCCTGTGGACCATTTAGAGTGTGGGCTTTGCTTCAGCCGCAAACCCCCGAGATGCCATGTGCAGGACATCAATTCCATGTCTCCCCACTATCTCACCACAGATGGGAACTCAGTCACCAGAGAACCTGGCAGAGGTCTGTATGGCAAGCCTGGTGCAGGCAGATGGGCCTCACAGCCTGAGGAAGCCTCTGGAGCCAGCTTTCCTGGACAGCTGGCCCAGCTCCAGCCACTTCTCTCTGGACTTTTCTAGGGCTGAATTCTCAGCCCCAGAGGCACCAAAGCTGAGGTGAGTTCTTACCTTAGCAGCCCAGAGAGACTTGACCACCTGCGGATTCAGGTCCTGGCCATGTACAAGGGACTCACTCAACCCCAGTTTTCAATACTGAATGGTGGTGTGCTGAGTGGATCAAGACATCAGGGTTCACTGAGGATGAAATGGGGGTTCCACAGTAAGTGCTTAGCTGTGGCCTTGGCTATTGTAGAGGCTGTGCTGAAGACCTATTTTAGAGGCTGTGCTGATTCCCATGGATGATCTTCTATCCCTCTCACTGACCAACACTTGGGGGAAGCAGTTCTTTTCATTGGAAAGGAGACTGGAGATTCACTGTCTGGGCTTCAGGGATTGTTCAAAGCAGGAAATCTTGAGTATAGCAAAGCATCCATGGTTATCAGATGTCATGAAAGACAAGTGTAATCAACCCACAAATGTACATGAAGACACACTGTGTGCAGACGTTTTTCTGGGTATTGACCATAATCCTGTAATCAGAGCAGGTGCAACAACTGCCTTTTGAGTTTTGATGTTCTTTGGAGTCCAGAGTCACCCTTGGCAACAGAACAGATACTGCTCACCTCAAGGCCATTGTTTTGGTCCCCACGTCTCCCAGATGAGGGTATAGACCATGCTCAAGGAGTTATACAGAGGCAAAGAGAACTGGACAATAGATCACTGCCTGAGCTAGAGATGGCAGAGAGGCAGGAGAGACACCAACTTACTCCTCACTTATCAGATATTCATGGAGTGGCAGCCCTGAGCCCTTGAGTGCAAAGACAGGGAAGGTTCCAGTTCTCACCTTCACCAAGCTGACCTGCACTGGGGAAGGGCAGGGAAGCACTGTCAGGCTTCCCTGAAGAAAGTAGACATGTGATACAACTAAGCAAGGGCTCCCTCCCATGGAGATTTCTTTCAGCCACTAAGGTCTCCTTAGGCCTATACTGCCTCACTGTGGGTGGGAAAGGGTGTGGCTGGATCCTGTACAGCCTGGGCAGGAGGCTCATACAACCTCCCTACAGGTGAGTTATGCATGTAGTGCTGGAGGAAAGACCAGGCCTCTCACTCTGCTCCTTTCTTCCCTGTACCAGGTCCACCTCTTCTGTGCTTGACTCTGCATTGGAACTCTACTCACATGTGGATCCCCAGGCTGAGCTTCTCCTAGACCAGCTAGAGACTCCTGAACCCCCCAAGGCTGAGACCCTAGGGTAAGTAACCCTGGGATGTGGGATGTGGGCTTGTGGGAGGGGATGGGCCTTGGAACTCAGCAAAGCACACAGATGCTGGGGACCAAGGAGCATGAGACTCTCAGCAGTCAGTGGGGGGATGTAATCTACAACTGTGTTGCTTGGGCTATGTTGGTGCACATGGCTCCCTCTGACAGCCAGTGGGAAGGTTTTGCCCCAAGAAACCCATCGACAGTTGGTCATCTTTTCTCTTCTTGGAACTGTTGAGCCAGTTTCAGGCCATGCAGAACTTGAACCTGCTGACCTTGTGCCAGCTCTACCTGCAGCTCCCTCACAAGCTCTGGCCCCACAGCAAGAGCAGGCACCTGGATTCCCTTGTCCACCAGCTACAGAGCTGGACCTCCTGGTGGCTCCACAGCAGGGCTTTTTTCTTGAACTCTACCTCCTTGCAGCTCTTGACCCAGACCTGCCATTCCCATCTCTTCCAGATTTATTTATCATTCTATTCACTGCTACTCTTATTTCCCAGAGATATGTGTTAGAACAAATATAAATAAAATGTAAGATTTTAGTATGGTTTAAAGTAATCAGTGCATTCTCAATGTTGTGCAAATTTCACCACTGTTCAATTCCAGAATATATTCTTCAAATTTTTTTACCCAAAGATGTTTTCTTTTCTTTCCCCTTCTGCTCTGTCCGAACCCCAACTGATCTTACATCCTCATAATTAATCTATGTTACATTTCCCACAGGAAAGTGCCCCTTACCTCTGTATATCTGCTGTCTTGTCCCACATCAAGTTTTCTTTGGCCAGAGAATGTTGGCAGTGACTTTTTAGGCTTAGAGTTAGGATTACGGTTCAGGTTAGTGTAAGGGTTAAGGTTGGGCTAAGCTCCCAAGTATTACATCATTGCCCATTGCATTGATATAAAGAAAAGAAAATCCAGACAAAGCAGCACCTTGTGCTCACCATGTCTTGGCCCTGAGATGTATGCTCAGTGCAGGCAACTTTGAGAACAGTCACTGGTCGATGGATTGTACCATTATACACAAAGTAGGGCCTAATTTCCATTCTACATATCATATGAGCCATAGACCTATAACCAACATAAACAGTATACACTGTAAACAGGTACTAATAAAGTATACAATGATTTATAAACCAAACACAAAGCAAGAAAATCCACTTCTGACATGTGGGAAAAAAAGAGCAACAGATGAGAAGCCTGACACAGGAAAGATGCACTCTAGCTGGCAAGCAATGGGTGCTTCATGCAGATGCAAACCTGAAGAGCAAAGCATGAGCTTTAAGTCCTTGGTAATGGAGTCTCTGGCACCAATCTTACTATCATAGGAACATGTACTTTTATACTTTGCTCTATGCCCAACCTAACACAGACACATAGAAATCTAGATGTGTGCTGGCTGCCCGAGATCCCCAGAAGCAGTTCATTCTTGGGGAGACAAGTGAACCCACACTGCCAAAAGCTGGTGATGACTGAGTCATGGAACAGAAAGTGAAAACCAAATGCAGACAAATCTGGAGGAGCCCTCAGTGTGGCTCCCAAGCCCTGTCTCTGTAGCTCTGCTCAGACTCCTCATTTCTAGCAAAGCAATCAAAACTGCTGTCTCCTCTCTGGCCTCAGGATACAGGCTCAGAAGTGGGTCTAACAGTGACAGCTGAAAGTGCCCCTTACCTCTGTATATCTGCTGTCTTGGAGGAGAAAGCACCTTATCTTCCTCTACCTTTCTCTCCTGCCTCTCCCACCAAGTTTTGAAGGCTGAGCTAGTGCCAGGCAGTCTGGGTGGAGAAGATTAGCAGAGCCTTCAACATTCTTTTATCAGCATACTTTTTATATATGACATACTTTGTCATACACACACAGCTTGAGAACAGTCACTGGTTGACAGATTGTACCATTATGCACAAGGTAGGGCCTAATTTCCATTCCACCCATCACATGTGCCATGGACCTATCATCAAAATAATCAGTAAACACTGTAAACAGCTATTAATAAAAATATACTAATAAAAATAATTAAGGATCTCATGATGAGTTGTGAGACAGAAAGATTTAGCAAAAAGTGACAGTTACCTGGAAGGAACTTTGCACTGTACACCAAGACCCTAGCATCAATATGGTGGGGAAGGAAATATATGGGATTCTCACCCCACTCTGCAGCCACTCAGACCTCAGCCGGCCCATTGTGCATCTCAAGGATGTTTGCCTCCTCCCACTACACTTGGGTAAAGCCTCCCTGACACCTGGACCTGAACACTAGGTATTTGCCTCTGGAGTCAATGGCAGAAAAGTGAGAACACAGCAGCACCTGGCAACTAGCAGGCAAGACAGAAATGGCAATGGCCATGACCACCTTACCTGAGAGTCAGTCCCTGAGACAGTGGCACGTTATACACATGTAAGCCTTGGGCCATCTCCTGTCTGGGTGCTGTTCACTCCTGAAAGAACCAGAGACATACTAGTAGCAGAGTGATGACACTGCCAGGCCTTATAACACAGTCAGTTGGTCTTGGGAAAGGACAGAGACTCATGGTAACAGTGGGGTGGAATTTGTCCCCAGACACAGTTGGGCTTGGGCACCCTTATTTCCCTCCCTTCCAATGTGTGGTCCAGATCTTTGGTCCCTGCTTCAAAGTCTGGTGCACTAAGCCTTTAGTCCCTGGCCAGATCCAATTCTGCCCACCCCACAGGAGCCATTTCAAAGTTACTGTTTCTACCTCGATTCGGCCAGATAGGAGTATCTGCATTTGTCTCCCCACATATCCAGATACGCATGCATCACATGGTAACCCAATGCTTAGGTCAGCTCCTTAGATGCTCCACAGATAGGGGTTTTCAGACTGACCTTGAGACCTAAATTCTAAGCACCATGTTCTAAGAAGAACTTCTAGATCTGGGAACCAACATTAGGGGCTCATAGTAACCTCAATCCTAGGCCCTGGACCAAGCACAACACAGGATGGATTAAGCTTGCTCTAAGTGATAACCCATCAGCCATACCTGTGGGTACAGGATTCTCTCTGGGACAAAAAGGGATGGAAGGGGCACAGAGCAGCCCCCAGGCCAACCAGGGTTAGCACAAGCCTAGCTGTGTGCTCTTAGGAGAATGATATATAACAGGAGGAGGGATGGATGCCTGAGGAATTAGGGAATAGAAGATGGAAGAGCAGAAAAAGGCCCCAAGTTTCTCAATGATGGACACCTGATTTTGTCAACCACCATACCTTTTGGGTGACAGCAGAGAACAGTGACATCTAGACTTTGGGCAGCTACACATGCAGTGCCTCCTCCTTTGATTCCATTCAAAGTTCCAAGGAAGATTGGAGTGGAAAAGGAGGGTAGAAAAAGTCTGGCAGGGGAACCACAAAAGAATTAGTGTGGAAGGATGTCTTGAGCAGGTGGCAGTGGTATACACTCTGCGTTGCCCCATTTGGCTGCCAGACACAGCCAGTGTCCACTGCCACCCTGACTCAATACCACCAGGCAGGGATCTCCCTAATTCATTCAAGAGGGCCATCCCGATGCCCTGACAGGCACTGAGGTCCACACACAGAGAAGGGCTGCCTACCTCTGTGGGATCCAGCACCTGCTCCTGCCCTTGTTCTGTGCACTTCCTCAGTGTGATCAGCTCCAAGATGGTACAATATGTTGAGAATAGATGGCTTGCAGAGTCCATGGGGAGCCACCTTCAGGAGGGGTTGTGCTAGACATGTGTTGTCACTACCATGCCTTAATGCTGTGCCTGGTTTTAACACACTATAACACATAGAAAAAGTGAGTCCCCACGGGTTCAGGGATCAAGGGAGGCTAAGATATTCTGGTAAGAAGCTCCATTGTGTGAGAGTGGGGCCAACAGACACTATTGTCCTTGGCCTCCAGCCTGGGACTGACTCACCTGAGACCATGCTCCAACCAGTCTGCTGGAGAACTGCATGTCTGCTCTGTGGGGAGCTACGTTCCAGGTCCAGGTCAGAACATTTGAGAACTTTAATGCCTTGTGGGGTACAGAGTAGGTATGGAAGTGGGGCAAATGTCTATCACATAGATCAAGAAATGATCTCCAAGGCACAGGCATGAAACTCGATCTCTTTCTAAAGTTGTACCCCACAGAGATTTGCGCCTCAGGATGTGATGAATGCCTTGGAACAGGGCACAGGGGCTGTTAATCACACACAACTTTAGTATTGTGGGGTATTAAAGTTCCCTGTGTCTGTGGTATGGGATTTTCTCAGAGTTAGGGAGGTGAATGGGTATTTTAGTGGGTAAGATGCCCAGAGAAAATAAACCACCTGAGCCAACATTAGCAATAGCAGTAAGCAAGTGTCTCTCTATATATATATCTCCATCCGTATCAGGGAATGCATTCTTGTGTACTGTTACAAGCTTCAGCATATCCATGGCTGTCTATGATAAGTCATGCTTATAGAATTGTGTTCATGCTGTTCATATGCTAATTAGTTAGGTGAGGTCCATACATGTCCTCAAAGTCTTTGGGGCTGAAGCACTGTGAAGTGGTTTCCCATATTCCACCAATTGAAAGATGAGGGAAAATGTGTTTATTGTAAGTGACCCCTAGGGTGGACTCATGCACACAAAGACCACGACAACAATAAATGTAAAGCATAATACCACTAATCCCACCACAGTGCAGCTTATGGCCATGCAGAGTCAGGTGGATCCCAAGGATTCCCATCACTGCATGAGCAGATCCTGCTGCAAGGCCTGGAGGGTAGAGAATACCAGATTCATTTCTTTTTTAAAAAATTTTTTATTTAAAGAAAATGAAAGGAAACAAAATAGAAAAAAAAAGTAGAATAGAGAAATTTTTAAAATTTAACATCATAAAACCATTGGATGATACATTATATATTGTCACCTTAAAAATAGTTGTTAAAGTTACAAAAACAAAGTGTAAAAAGTGGCTAACTACTTAAACATAGGCAGTACAAACCCTTCTTTTCAATATCTCACAGAAATGTAGTAATATGGGCATCTATCTTACACATTATACATATCATTATTTCCTTTAGAACACTATTTTCCCTTTCTCCTTTGCAATATTTTATACTTTTTGGATCTCATTACTTGGTCAGTTTTTTTTATTACTTTTAACACCATAGAGATAATGTGATATTTACTAATGTGAGTCTTTTAATTTCACTAATGAGCACATTGTCAACTTGCCTACATTTACCAATAAAGGCCTCAAGATCATCCTTTTCTATAGCTGAGTAGTTATCAATTGTGTAAAAATACATTCTTTTCATCCACTCTGCAGTTAATGAGCATTTTGGTTGTTTACAAGATTTACCTATCACAAATTGTGCAATGAACATGAGTGCACATATATCACTGTGACATGACATTTTCAATTTTTCTTTGAAAATTCCTAGAAGAAAAGCAGGATTGAATGGAACTTCAAATCCTAGGTTTTTGAGGAATCTCCATACTGATTTCCACAGTGGCTGCAACAGTCGGCACTTACACCAACAGTGGAGAAGTGCAGTGGTGCACTTCACCAAGATTTGTTATCAGTTGATTTCTCGATGGCGGCCATTCTTTCCAGAGTGAGATGAAATCTCAATGCTGTCTTAATTTGGAATTCTTGAACAACCAATGATGGTGAATATTTCTTTATATATTTATTTGCCATTTGTATACCTTCATCTGAAAACTGTATATTCATCTCTGATGCCCATTTTTGGAGAGGGTCTTGGAATCTGGGGGATTTGATGTTTTTCAATTCTTTATATGTTCTGGATATGAATCCCTTGTCTGAAGGATAGTTAGTTAAAATTATTTCCCATTCTGTGGGATTTCTGTTCACTTTGTTGGTGATTTCCTTTGAAGTTCAAAAACATTTTAATAATATGAGATCCTGGTTGTTGATTTTTTGAAGTATTTCCCATACAGCTTGTGTTTTATTCATGAATTCTCTGCCTAGCCCTATGTCTCCAAGATTTCTACCTAACTTGTCCTCCAGTAGATTTAGTGTTTCTTTTTTAACTTTTAGATCCTTGATCCATTTTGACTTTAGTTAAATGTATAGTGATAGGCATGGGTCTAGTTTTAGTCTTCAGCATGTGGAAAGCCAATTTTTCCCACACCATTTATTAAAAAGGCTATCTTTCTTGCAGTGAACATGTTTAGCTCCTTTGTCAAATATAAGGTGGCTGAGTGTCTCTGTGGCAGTGTTTATATCTTCTATCTGTTCCACTGATCCTATGGTCTATTTCCTTGCCAACAGCATGCTGATTTTATCACCATGGCTTTGCAGTATAGTTTCAAGTCAGGAATTGAGATGCCTCCTTCTTTGTCTTTGTTGTCCAGTATTGCCTTTGCTATTCTAGGTTTCTTCTGTTTCCAGATGAATTTGGGGGAATATTTCCTCTAGATCTGTAAGGTGTGTTAATGATATTTTGATTGGGATTGCATTGAATATATATAACAGTTTGGAGAGTTTCACCATTTTCACAATGTTGGTTGTTCCTAACTATGATCAAGGAATATCCTTTCATTTTCTAATATCCTCTTCAATCTCCTTTTTTAGAGTAGTATAATTTTCATCATATAGGTCTTTTACATTCTTGGATAGGTTGATTCCTAAGTATTTCATTTTTTTGATGCTATTGTGAAAGGCGATATTTCATAATTTCTCTCTCTTGGAGATTTTGTGTACAGGAATACTATTGATTTTTGAGTATTGACTTTCTATCCAGGTATGCTGCTGTTTATCATCTTAATAGGCTTTTAATAGATTTTTGGGGGTCTTCTATGCAAAGTATCATGTCATCTGCAAATAATAACTTAACTTCTTCTTTTCCTATTTTTATTCCCTTTATTTCTCCATCTTGTCTGATTGCTCTGCTAATAGTTCCAGAACTATATTGAATAGGAGTGGTGATAGTGCACATCATTTTTTTTGTTCCTGATTTTAGTGTGAAGGCTTTCAGTTTTTGTCCACTTAGCATAACATTGGCTGTAGGTTTGTCATAAATGGTCTTTATGAGACTGAGGTAGATACCATCTATTCTGACTTTCTGTAGGGTTTTCATCATGAACAAGTGTTGGATTTTATCAAAAGATTTTTCTGCATCTATTGAGAAGTTCACGTGATTTTTATTTTTGGCTCTGTTGATGTGGAGTATTACATTTATTGATTAGCATATTTTGAACCATGCCTGCCATCTTGGAATCAATCCCAGTTGGTCATGCTACATAATCCTCTCAATGATTTGCTGCATTCTATTTGCCAATATTTTATAGAGAATCTTTGAATCAGTGTTCATTAGTGAGATTGGTCTGTATTTTTCCGCTTTGGTTGTGTCTTTCTCTAATGGTATCATAGTGATACTTGACTCCAAGAATGAGTTAGGGAGGACTGTTTCTCTTTCAATTTCATTGAAGAGTTTAAGAAATATTGGAGTCAGGTATTCTCTAAATTCCTTATGAAATTCAGCCGTGAATATATCAGGACCTAGATATTCCTTTGTTGGTAAGTTGATAAATCATTTTCAATTTCAGTAGCTGATACTGATTTACTCAGAATTGTTATATCTTCTTGATTGAGCCTCAATAATTCATGTTTCTAGAAATCTGTCCATTTCCTCTGTGTTTTTGACTCTATGTGAGTAGAGATTTTCAAAGTATGTGTTCATGATCTTTTGAATTTCCATGGCATCTGTACTAATTTCCATCTTTTCAGTCCTTATTGTGTGGATTTGAATTTTTTCTTTTTCTTAATAAGAAGGTTATCAGTTTTGTTTATTCTCTCTCTCAAAAAAAAAAAAAACCAACTCATTGATTCGTTAATTTTCTGCATTTTTTTTAGTTTCAATTGCATTAATTTCTGCTCTAATCTTTACAATTGTCTCTCTTGTATGAGCTTTGGGTTTGACTTGCTCCTCCTTTTCTAGAAACTTGAGATGTAGCATTAGGTTATTTATTTGTTGTAGGGAGTGGTGCAACTGCCCCACTGCTGTCTCCCCGCCTCTCCCTCCTATGGGCACATAATGCACCTGCCTATATTAACCATAGTCCTCTCCTACTTACGTCACATACACAGACATGATGATGACCCATCAGAGATTACCCCATAGCCTCTTCGTGTCCCACCAGCCCACCCCTGCCATATAAAACCAGTGACCACTTTATTAATAAATGAGACTTAATTGGACTCCCTTGACTTGTCTCTGACACTCTGTGTCTGGCCCTGTCTGTGTTAATCCCCATCCCTTCTCCAGGAAACTGCCCCACAGATCTGAATTGACCTGCAGGCCGGGTCAAGTGGCGCCTGTCATGAGGCTCTTGGCATGAAGGGCTCAATGAGGGAGCCATCCTGAGACACACGCATTGAAGTGAAACTAAAAGTTTTGTGACCAACGCTACGCAGGAGCCTGTTGCACCGCTAGAGTCATGGTAAGTGGACAGCAATCCTTTTCCCTTTTCTCTGGCATGGGTCAGGCATTAAGCGACCATAAATGCTTTGTATCAAGTTTAAGTAAAGCTTTAAAGACAAGAGGGATAAAGGCTAAAGAAAAAGACTTATTGCAGTATTTTCAATTTATTCATAAGGTTTGCCCTTGGTTTCCTTTAGAGGGCTCTATTGATGCAAAAAGATGGAAAAGAGTAGGAGATGCATTAAAGGATTACTATCGGGTCTTTGGCCCTGAAAAGGTCCCAGTTACAGCCTTTGCCTACTGGAACCTAATCTTGGAGCTACTTACACAGCATTGCCAAGCCCCTCAAATTGATAAAACAACCACCCAAGGTGAAGTCACTTTACACGCTTCCACTTCGCCAACATCTCTCCCTTCAGGAGATGAATCTAAACCTTCTCCAGAGAAGCTGCAGAGCGAGCAGTGGCTTCCCCCAAGCCAGAGATCCAGAGAGGGAGAAAAATAAATACTGGAAAGGAGGAGAGAACATAAGAGGGAAAGAACAGGAGGTGGATCACAGTTATTTTATGTGTGAACCTTAATATTTGCATCACATGATGTCTACCATATTTGGTTATTTAAGAATGAGTCAGGAGCTGGTGAGACAGCTCAGTGTACAATACTTGCTGACAATGCATGCAGCCCTGGGCTCAATTTCAGTGCTAATGCAAAACAATAACACTAATAATAGTAAATAACTAAGTGAGGCCCATTAGGTAGGGAATGGATTACTCACGTTGTAGCCATCAGAAAGTTAGCTGTCACCTATTGAGTAGGACCAGTCATGGGTGTGGTGACTCACATAGGTGTGAATATAGAAGCACTGCCAGTAGATTTTGGGGTGCAACTCCATCCATAGTTCTTGCTTAGCCTGTGTGAGTTCCTAACTTGAGGGCATAACACCAATACGTAGAAGAAATTGCGATATTTAGGGAACATAAAGATGACTGAATCAATGAAATTCCGCCCCTTCACAATACTACCAGGGAATACGTCCAGAAGTTGTGTGTCATTTCTGCCACCAGGCAGTGGGGGCCAGGCCTATGTGCACTGTATTCCACATCCATTGCACCCCTTCCTGGATTTAACCTCTAATTCTGTACAGTATGTCTATGTGATATCAGCCCAAAGGCATTACAATTGTCATCTCACATTGCCAATAAGGTCCCTAGGAAGTAGATGCCAGGGTAACCTCTGTAGTGCAGGAGGACACTCTGTGAAGGTTCTGAGAGGCACGGTGTCTTGTCTTAGGAAGTCAGAAGGAGGAGTTGGGTCTAAACCCAGGTCTTTCCCCTCAGAGCTGTGACCCTGCCTGCACTGTCTTTTTTCTTAGCCTTAGGGAAGCTTTGCCTACTACCAAGGGCCTGTCACTTGATTGAAGCTGTTCTCTTCATTATAAAGGACACCAGAGTGTCATTCTATTGGCTACCATGGTATCCATAGCAGGAATCTCTGGGGAATACCAGGGGGCACAATTCCACACAGACATCATGGAGGGAGCTGGTGAGTGCCTTTAATCATCAATTTACTAAGCTGTGACCATGATGCAGTGACCAGAGCAAATGTAACCACTGCTCTCTTGTGATTCCATGTTATCCAGGACACAAGTCCCTCTGAAGAACAGATCAGGTACTATCCACATTACCGTAAATGTGCCTAACTTCCTGGCCTCTGTACATTTGAACACATATTAGGGGAAGGGGTGTCCCAAGAAGGTACACAGAATGGGATGATACATCACTATATGAACTGAAGATGATGGCAGGCAGAACACACTCCCTCTGTTCACTCACTTCACTGATATTTAAAGTGCACCAACCCTGTAGAGTAAGCACGAGTAGAGTAACACTGCAGATACCATTCTTTTTCTCACAGAGACAACACACCACGAGGGTGGGAAAGGAAGATGCATTTCGTGCTTTCCTCAAGAACAGAGGACAGGTGGTCTCAGCACTATTAGGGACTTCTTTCAGCAGGTGAAGGCTTCCTGAGCCAGCACTGCCCAATTCAAGGCAGAGAGAAGGTTGGGCTGGTCTCTCTGCAACTGGAGCAGGAGGCTGGTGTTCAACTCCACAAGATGCCCCAGCTGAATTGGACCAACCTGAGCTCACTGAAGCTGAGCCCTGCCTTCAGGAGGGATTGGCCTGGGTCTGTGGGCCTCTGGGGATTGCATAAGACACTTTACATGGAGAAAGACTGCCAGACTTGGGATCTCTGGCAAGCCTGAGGCATGTACAAGTGAGTGGGTCAAGGAAGAATGAGAAACTTTGCTGGGGTGGATTTGTGCACAGAGCTGTCTGTGACAGGCACTGTGAAGTTCTCGGGCCTGCAAGGAACAAGGACAGTTGGTGATTGTTCTCCTTCTGTTGATGCAAGGCTAGTACCTGATGACCTGAAGTCGGACTTGCAGAATTTGTGCCAGCTGGACTCCAGTGACCTCGCCAGCTCTGGGATCAAAGTGAAAACTAAGGTTAGGCACCCTTTCTTAAGGAATTTCAGAACTGGCGCTTTTACTAGCTCCATGGCAAGAATCCTGAGCTCCACTTCCAGCCAAGTGCTGCAGAGAACCTCTGTTCCCTTCCCCTTCTTTCCTTTGTACCCCTTGTATTTCTTTCAGCTTTCATTTTAGTCTTATTATCTATAATTGTTCTCAACATTAAAGTCTAAGATAATTTTAATTAAAAGTTAAGATGTCATTAGTTTCAACATGTTCAATTCAGTAGCACATAAGGACATCATCAACTTGTACAATTTCTACATCTATTGATTTCTAGCTTTCTGTTCAGTGTTGGACTCATCCATATGCCTGTACTCTTCTACTAGTCCCAACCCACCTCTGATTTTTCTCTCACTGTGATTTGCTACTCTGGGTCGTTAATATTCAAGCATCAGATTATGTTTGGCCAAACATTACTGGAGGAGACTGGCTACCATTGCTTTTTCATAGAAGAGAAAATCCCAAATAACCAAAATCTACAGCGAAAATGTAAGAAATCTACTGATCTTTTCATGTTGGAAAAGCTTTCCCATGATAGAAGGGAGAGAGAAAGATCTGATTCACTGCATTTGAAAAACAGAAAAAGAATAATGTAGAATCCACAATAAGAAATCTTTCCTTACAAGCAATAGGCAGAGAGTTTGTATTAGAGGTGTCAAAGAGGTGTCTATGAGTCCATTCTGTGAGAGATGAAAAATTCTTCTAACTCAAAAGAGAACCACCAAGTGTGGCCAACAAATGGAGAAGACGCTGGGCCCCACAAGGGTGATTCATTCAGGAATACATCCCTGACATGTGCTGTGATCCCATCTGATGGCAGACTTTAAGGCAAGTGCTGAACAGTACTGAGAAGAACATGGTGGGTGGGGCAGAGCCCTGTCCAGAAGCTCCCATCACAGCTCTCACAGGTGTCCCCAGACTTTGAGGTCTAAAAATAGAGATTTATCCTACACAGAGATCTGTATAACTTTTCAAGCTTTCTTTTCAAGACTGTTGTTCACAACACTGCTTGAAGCAGGAGGAAAATGTGATCCTTGCTACCCTCAACGTAGAAGGTGCGGGGCATCAGTGTGGGTCAGGAGAACCAGGAAAAGCTGTGCAGATGCTGAGCTTGATCTCTCTGGGCCACAGGGTAAGAGGACAAGGAATCTGATCATGAAATAATACATGGATGAGAGAAGGATGTGTGTTCAAAGTCAGAGGATACTGACTTTGAAAATGCAATGTCTCTGACATCAATGTGCGTCCACACACAGACATGTAAGAATCTATGTTCAAGAATGGTGTCTCAGCAGTGTAGCTACTTATGGAAACCCTGGCTCAATATAAAAAAGAATTTTAAAACAGAATTTAGTGTAGTTCAGTGCATGGCCATGCGCTATAATTCACAGAATTATGTTAAGGAAAAAACACAGACAAACTGGGAGCGATGTGAGGGGCTGTAGAGCACCATCACCTGGTCTTCTGGAGAGCAGTGTGCCCCAACTATCTTGAGCCTCCACACCTTTCTTGGGCACATTGATTTAAAAAAATGATCAATTCCATGAAGGAGGGGGAAAGGAGGATATTCACCCAAGAATACAAAGTCTCAGTCACAATGGAGAAGAAATGTTCAATTTTACAATAAACTGAATGGTGACCACAGTTAATAAGAAGTATAGCTTTCAAAACTGCTAAACAATGAGATTGGCAGTCCCATTCACTGTGAAACAATCTGTAGGTAAGGTGGTAGACACATTAACTTGATTGATTCTTTCTACAAAGGAGCCATAGATCACAAGTGCATGTCATCCCACAAACATACATAATTATTGTGAATTGCCAAGTGAAGATACCTTATACCTGCACTCTCAGCATTCTGGGAGGCTAAGGTAGGAGGACCACAAGTTTAAACCCAATCTGGGGAATTGAGTAAATTATTTAAAGTCTGTCTTAAAAATTAAAAAAAAAAAACTAAAGTATATGGGCATACAGCTCATGGAGAATTCCCTGGGATCACTGAACACAGTATAAGAATCATTATTGTATAACTATTCTGTTATGAAAATTTTAATCTATAAATGTTTTCATATTTTCTGTTTTACCATCTACTTGTGCTATATAAAATAAGAAAAGAGGAAAAAAGTACTTATTAGTTTGTTTTGTTTTGAGACAACATCTTGCTACGTACTGCAGGCTGACCCTGAACTCACCATGTATTTCAGGCTAGCCTGGAACTCTCTGTGATCCTCTTGTGTAACCCTTGAGAGTGCTGAGATTACAGGCATGCGCCACCATGCATAGCAAGAAAATTTTTTTAAAAATTTATTTTAAAGGGAATAAAACCAAATAAAAAAAATAGTCAATCAAAACAAAAGGATGAACATGATACATGACTTAAAAACAAAATCAAACAGTAGGTTGTGTGGCCTGTTTCTTAGCCAGCACAGAAAAGAACTCAACAC